GTTGCTAGAGAGTATTGGAGGGAAGTGTCACTATTTGTCCTATTCTACTTTCTCCTAAACTTTAAATAACCTTGAAAATGTGCAAAAAAAGTATTACTCTGAGATTTCTTGCTGTCTCTCCATGATAGAGTATCTGAGTGATAGTCACTAAAAATTTGTTGTGAGGGGCTTGTTTGCTAGAAATAACCATGGCATTAGAACATTTCATGACAGAGCATCAGAACTGAAGTGTTGATTTAATACGACTTCAGTGCAATTTAAATAAACATAAATTTTTGCTAACAACATACAGTGCTCATGGCAGCATAAATGCAATATGTATTGCGTTTGTATTAAAGCTCTAGTTCTTTCTTTTTTTTAACATGTCTTTTATTAATAATCTGAAGCTTGGGTATAGCTTTTGTGCATGTGGCCTGAAACATTTTCAACTGATGCATAAAAACCGATCTAAAAAAGCAGGCGCTAATAAAAGGCAGGGTAAGAACACTCCACTGCAATGCAATTATTCACACCAATTATAGACACTAGATTTGCACCGCAAATATTGCATGCGCAGGGGGTATTATAAGGGACTCGGCGAAGTGCCAGGAATGTCTATAATAAACTGGGTCATCTCCTGTAAGAATGTTGTTATTACACTTGAGAGGTCAGGGGATAAGCAGGGTTAACCCTGCACTCGGCAGAACTGCTGATTCAATTTGCTCACAAGGATTGCTTTTCATTGTGAGTTGATAGTCTATTTTCTGCTGGAAGAAGCTTCTCTCTGCTTTTCAAACTATGGACAACAGAATTGGTAAATGTAAAGAATTCAGCAAACAGTTAACACTGCTGAGGATGAAGCCGAGCCTCAAATCAGCAAGCAGTGAATCTCAGGAGAAGAAATGAGAGTCGTATGCATAACAGTTGTAATGAAGTAAAGATATGAATTACTGGCTTGTCTCCTGCTATGGAAAGTACTGTCCTAAACATGAAGCTTTTCAATTTTATCTTTTGATATTTTTTCCCTATGCTAACTGATGCAGAACCATCAGTGTTATGATATTGGTAGGACTGTGGGTTTTTTCTCATTTCCTCAGTTCCTCCAATGACATTAAGCATGAGGAAATGTTAACTACGTTAATGGAAGTGTAGTTATATATTCAACGTAGAAATTCTACCCTTTATTTTGTCGCAGAAGACATTGGCTTTTGTAAAAGCAATATGTGATTTTTGAGCAGCTTGTCATGCAGGGGTCAAACTTGGGTATAATCTTGGTCAAGTTGATGATCTTGTAATTGAATGTAGTTTGTGGTTTCTCCAAGAAATTCATGAGCAGGCATATGGCACGGTCAGTTACACAAAGGTGCTTAGTCTGGATCTAAATTTTGGACAAGCTGAAGTGTCACTTAGATCTAGAGAGTGTTAGAGTTGAGACTGATCCCGTTACAACCGTGCAGCAAGTGAGAGCGGTGTAAGTAAATGATCTTCCTTCGCTCTGCGAGGCGGCGTAAGCAGCTCACATCCCCTGTGCATGAGCGTGCTGGCAAGCAGCTCCCACGGTTCGCTTAATCTGCAGTGACCTGCTGCCCTCTTAGCAACTTCTTTGTGAATCGGAGCCCTTAAATGGCGAGAATCCTTCTTTTATGGCACTGGTAAAATTTCAAGTCCAGTAACCTGATCGGTTCTGTCTTTCATTTCTGCAAAGACTGACCAGCTGTATTACAGCCATTACTTATGCTGCCAAAATGTACTTTTCTGAAGACGGTGCTTTCAGCTTTGCAGGGGTTCAATTCCTACCTGCTTGGCTGCGTTCAGTAGGTTACTCAGTGCTGATTTTGATGAGAGAAAAAAAAAAAAAAATGGCAAAAATGAGGTACAGAATCCAAAGTAAGAAAGTTCAAGTGGGATGTGAAGTATTAATCGGAGAGCATGCTGAGTTTGCTGGGGTGGGTTGAGCCAGGCATCTCAGTAAGGCTGCTCTCCTCAAACCTGAGGGAGACTTGACTTTTCATACCATCTTCTATTTACATTTTTCCCCTCGTTTTTTTTTCCTGCTATCGGGACTCTTTCATATGGTGTGTGTATTGTGGGGTTTTTGTTTTTTCGTTCATATCAGTTGACTGAAAGAACTTTTTCTCCATTTCCTTCTCTGACCTGCGATCGGTATCGGCGTGATTCACCTTCAGGAACGAGTGAAAGGGTAAAGTACCTGGTGTGGCAGTAACTGCAACAGCAACAAAAAAGCAAAAATACGTATTGCCATCTGAAACACTAGCGATTATTTTTGACAAGGAGGTAAAACAAAAACTTTAAGCTCTTTGGATTTTTTTCCCCTCTCCATTTCCACAGTAAGTGGGAATGTAGCTACAGGAGAGTTCCCGTAACTTTAAAACGTCTACTTTGATCTAAGCTGTCAAGACTGACTCTACAACCCATGTCTTGTAGTGAACTTATGCAGCAGTTGTGAGGTGAAAACCATTGAGTAGTGATCTATCTGATAAGAATTTTATGAAAACATTCGTAGGAGATGGTCAGAATTAACATACATCTCCCTAAAATGAAAAAGATACGACACTGCTTTTTTAAGTAAATTTTTGAAGGCCAGGTGGTTTTGCTAAACGCTGCTTTCTCCACTTGAAATCCTTGTATTTATTAAGTAAAGCTGAGCAGCCTCTGCACCCTTCCCACAGTGCCGTCCCTTTGGCAACTCTCAACTCCATTACTGTGTGTCTTGTGTCTAACGTGGGATCCGTTTCCGAATCGCAAATACGAAGCTCTTCTATTAGTGAGTATTCGTGCCCTGTATTCTTTCAGCAGAAGCAGCATTTTCTTAGATAATTGGAAAATCATGTGGCAAGCAGAAAACTGAATTTACTCCATCATCAGCTGTACTTGCCTTGGGTTTTGTTCTCATTTGGCCGTTGCGACAAACTAGGTGAGAGAAGACAACGCTAACTGGGCTTACTCCTGTACATTTGCAGGAATATTGGGCAGATTGCCTTTTGCTTCTCTCATTTCACCCCTCCGCTTGGGGAGGGGGAAGTTCCACAGCATGTTCTTTAAGCTGTGCATGTTAAATATGAGGAAATTTTCTATTTTATCTTCCTGGGAAGTGCAGATTGCGGTAAGCCGTGTGAGTGGTGAACTGTTGGCAGCAGTGCCATCAGTGTGAACTCTCCAGAACCAACAGCATATGTTAGTTATTTATTTATGTTTAAAAACCGCTCAGTATACTCTAGAAGGTGAAGTTGCCCTGAGCGTTCAGGAAGGCAGGGTAGGCCAGAGTTGACTTCTTTCTCCGCCTAGTTTGAGTGTTGCTATCATGCCCCTTTCTGCCTGCCTTTTTCTCAGCGCTTGAATGCCGCTCCCTGACTGCAGAGCGAGACCTCTTCCCCTCAACTTTCAGAAGTTACAATCTATTTTGCCAACAGCTATAAAAGGAGCTATTGCTGCAGCGATTCAGGGGATAACTACTTTTGTTCTTTGAAAATGGCTTGTGGGTAGGAGGAGCTCAGGTCAGGCGTACAGGGAAAACCAGCATCTGCTAAGGGTGAGTGGGCATCAGGGATTTAGCTTTGCTCGGCAGGGTGCTCTTGAGGTGAAGTCCACTTATGGCACTTTGCTGCTTATCCTAGAGCAGCCTTGAAATGTGCCAACTGGATTCCTTGTAGATTAAAATAGACTGCAGCGTGCCGTCCGGGAGTGCATCTCGTGTGCTGTGGCTGCTAGGAGCTGCTTGGTGTGCGGGGCCGGAGGAGGGCTGGTCCCAGCAGGATGGGAGCAGCTTCTCTGATTCTGTACTTGAATGTATGAAACGGTAGCCAGGAAAAAAAATCTGAGCGCCTGGTAGCAGTTAATAATGGATCATATTTTAATATAACTGGTACTTTTTTTTTACTGGACCACCTGGGAATATTTTAAGGAGGCAAGGTTTTGATACCCCTATTTTATATTCCTATATTAAGGACACTCAAGTGCTTCTACCATTTTGAGAAACCGTAATTTCTAAAAGAAGAAAATAGCAAGGGTTACTACATTCTGAAGATTAACAAACATTAAAATTGAGAACTGTACAAGACTGTCAAATTATTCTAGCTCTGCAAAATTTCTTTTTACTTCATTCTAACTTTTAACAGCTTTTAAATGAGCAAATACAGATTTCAGCTATTGAAATCCTGTTTATGTCTTACAAATTTCAACTGTTGAAATAACAACAAATTTGGCACATGTGGCTACAACTCACTAGTGCAGGCTTTACTGTTGCATTTATGTACTCCTGATAATTAGGAGGAGAGATGAAAAATGGTTTGGTATAAAGAAACTGTAGATTTTCGTTAAAAACCTGGGCTAAAAGCTTTTGGTGAAGGTTGTAAGTTCTACTAGCGAATGACACTGTATGCCCACAACAGTTCAAGAGGTGGTAGGATGTCTAGGATTTGTTTTGCAGTGTTACCCCTTTTATCAGTAATCCACTATCACGTATTTTGATAAATGCACACAAAGAGTTAGGGAACTCGCAAATAAACAGCGGAACCAATTTAAACTCTGAAGCGTACCAAATAAACATTAAAGTATTCCCTTTAGGAACTCAGAATCCTTTGAATTATGCATGTATTGTAGTTTGCAGTAAGATAAAAGAACTTTAGGTGGGGGAGGGTGAGAAACTTGAAAAGCCTTAAGGAATAATTTGCATAAATTGGGTGGAGAGAGTAAACAGCACAAGGGGAAAAAAGTTCCTTTCAGTAAGGCCTTATAGAATGAGATAAAACAAACTAAAAAAATCAGGTGGAGTTGAAACAAAGCTGAAGTGCTTTAAACTTAAATCCCAGGGAACTCTGCACTGCCCTGGATAAAAAAGCAAACTTAAAAAAAAATAAATTCTGAAGGGAAAGTTAAAAGAGAAGCAAAGCCATGGAGACAGTATAACATGTGTGTCTTACTGTATGCAAGACCTCTGGAAATTAAATGAACAGCATAAGCAGAATTTTTTAAAATCTAACAGTATTTTTTTTATCTTACAGTTACAGGACCGCACACAATTTAGTGACCGAGACTTAGCTACCCTAAAGAAATACTGGGACAATGGCATGACCAGCCTGGGCTCAGTCTGCAGAGAGAAAATTGAAGCTGTGGCTGCAGAATTAAATGTTGACTGTGAAATAGTGCGGGTAAGAAATCTAGAGTCTTCCCCTATCTTGTCGCAGAAGCAAAAATAGGACAGATGAAAGGCTTTAAAAATTTCATGAGGAAGCTTGAAATAGATTTCGCGTATTACATAATGAATGACCATGTTGGGAAGTGCTCTCTTGCTCTTTCTGCAGTCTATATATAGAAAAAAAGCCCTCAGGTAAGAGTCTTATTGATCAGCAGCAGTAGCAGCACTACGAGCCATTTGACATTCTCTTTAGACTTGAGTAAGAGTTGAAGTAAAAGTGTTACATTTTTTAGGGATATCCTGGAAGACTGGAAAGTGCTATTTATATTGCTATTAAGAAACAAAAAAGCCTTTTGAAAGATACAGGGAAAATATTTCTCATCAGTGCTTATAGGAAAAAAATCATTGTAAACATATGAAAGAAAACGCTGAAAAATAGGAAAAAAAGTATTTTTCAAGACTGTCTTGAAGCCAGGTTGAGATGTGATAGAGGGCAAAGCATACTGTGAGGAATTCTGGGTCACTTCAATTTGATAGTCTGTATAGGTGGTGTTGACGAAGGATTTCTTTAGAAAAAAGTACAGGTTTGGTGTAGGTAACCTGATTCCTAAGAACCACTCTACGTCATCTCTTCCAGAGGTTGGGAAGTCTGATACAGCAACAGTTGTTGCCGCTGTATTCCCAATTACCAGACATACATCATCACTCTCATTCGCTGAGAGCGTTTCCATGCTTCAGAAAATAATCCCACTCTCTTCACAGTCAGTACACAAACATGATGAGAGTCTTCCTTTCCCTCTTAACGGGCATGACAATCATGATTAGTCCTTTCAGCCTTTGTCCTCTTTCCACCTCTTTCTTAAAATTCTGACATCGCTACAAAAGCGGAACCAGGAGCCCTTATTTAAACTCTTCTTTTGTGGAGATCCCTCTTGGGTTGGTATATCAAAATGCTACTTTCAATATTGAACACTGATCTGGTTATTTACTTGCTTGTTTTCCTGAGCACATGTGAATTACAAAAAAATTAAACTGTACTTTTGGAGGCTGAGAAGAATTACTCTCTTCTCTGTGGAGAACAAAGCTGCTCCATGTTTTCCAGGCTCTTCAGTTTGCTTTCTGAAAGGTGAAGCTGTTTCCACTGATAGCATCTCAAAGTGGACTCCTGGATATGAAATATCCACCAGACAGTAAGACTGACACTCGTGCTTCACCTCCCTTACTTTGTTCCCTTAAGAACGTCCTTATTGGCACGCGCAGGATGACAGTATGAAGTTCTGTGCACGTCTTTCAATAGCATCTGCTTGAAATGCTTTTGTCTTCAGGGCAGATGTGCCAGGTTCCAGTCAGCTCCAGAACACTCTCTGGCATAACCTAATTAGAACATACACACATAAAGAACAAAAAGATTTCTTCGTAGCAACTGTTATTGTTACCAGTATCTGTCTTACCTCTGCCTCTGGTTCCTCCATATGGCAGACTTGAGAATTGTAGCAAGAATTAGGTGGAGGTTGGTCCTGTGCCGTGCTGCACTATTTCATTTGTAAGGGCTGAATTAACGCTACAGGACACGTGTGATCATCAGTGCTTCCCGTTGTCCTTTCTCCAAGGCACATTGTACGTGTCCCAGCTGTAGGACAGGTATTTTCCGTTGTGTGCTCTAGCGGAGCTGTCCTAAATTTGTTTCGGGATCTGTATAGGCACATAGTATTGTGCCTCTCTCCTTACCTGCCAACCTGCATTTTCTTCAGTAGGAAGCATGGATGTCTGGAGGTTAGTGTGCAGCACGGTCTCCTTCTCCTAAGGGGTCAGGGCACAGCAACGGTGCAGTCAGCTGTAAGGCACGAGTGAGCCACAGCATCTCCACACTGTACCGCATGCTCAGCCAAGAAGACTTGGACTGAGGGGCACTTTGGGGAAAAGCGCTCTACTTCCAATACCTCTACGTTGTTGCCTTTGGATTCCACTGTACCTTGAACCCCAGGTGCTGTGCAACTAGCAGCTGTTTCTTTTTTTCTGTAAAAAAATAAGTGTAGCATATGTAAAATAGAAATAAGTGTATGTAAAAGCAAGTAAATCTACAAACATCAAATAATACACACAAATATATATAATATATAAATAATATAATTTTATTTAAATATCTATATAAGCATATATAACTGTAAAATATATATATCTCACTTGTTTTAATTCCATTAAATACATGTCCCCATTTTTAGCTTTGAATAACTTTTTTAAATGCAAATTTGTGATTTGTCCAGAAAAGTGTTGCTTTTCCAGAAGTACAAATGATTGATCCTTACAATGTCATACTAGCTTGAAAGATCTCCAATACAAAAAAGTATCGAATCTGTTTTCCAGTACAAGGAAAGATAAGCTTTTCCACTATGCATAGTTCCACTGGATTTGATCTTGTAAAGTTGAACAGGGCATTTTATTCCATAGTTTTTGCACTTCTAGTAAGAGACTTGCAAAGTGCCTGCTAGTTGTACCTTAACATCATTCACATTTGCACCCTCGCATCTTCCATATGTTCCCAAGACACCAGAAAAAAGTTAGGTCACATTTAAATATGTGAACTCTGGCCAATACTTTATTAAACTTGCGATATTTCTTTTGCTTACATTATAATTATTGCTGATTACATTTGTTTGGGGGTTTTTTTTGTAGTTAGTTACACGTTTCTGTGTATATTTCTCTTGACTAATTTTATTCATACATATCAAAATAGCATCTGAAAGGAGAATAACCTTCTTGGCAGCGAGGCATTAGATATTTGAGAAAGATGGATGACAACTATCGAACTCCTCAGAAATATAGGAGGAATATAAGAAAAATGCATGACAGGTTTTTTTTATTTTTTTATTAGTAGAACATAAAGCTTTCATACATACGAGAGCAGAAGCTGCTCCTAAGCACCCACCACAGGCTAAAGACACCTCCTCCAATTTCCCAGCAGCCCATCAGAAAAAAGCTGGATTACTGCAGGTAGTGCTTCGGTCTGAGTTTAGCAGCAAAATCAAGCAGTTCCAGCAGAAAGGCCACTCATTCTTCACGGCTGACTTAGGGCTCTTCTTGTGGGGCTCTAGGCCTAGTCTGGATCCGGCTTATGAGTCACTGGAAAAACAACTCGGAATATTCCATCTTTATTTTTTTCAGTGAAGTGCGATTTCTGAAGGTTCCAACCTAGAATATTTCCAGCACGTTGACACCCTAACCTCAATATCTGGAGAGCTATAATCATGCTTTTTATGTGGCTCCCTGCCACTCCACTTACTGATAAGCTGCCTGAGGGCAGGCGTATGCTGGCTCCTTCTGCCTGGACTCCAGCCTTTCTTCCCTCGCTCTTGCTGGTCATCTGTTCAGCTGAAGCTGGGGAAGTTGCTGCCGAGTTCATTGCTGGCTGCCGTAAGTAGGCTTAATGAGTCTGATCACATGCTCTTTACAGAAGTGGTTTGAAGTTTTTAAGGAGGTAATATTTTAGGGATATAATGAGAATTATTAAGCTGGTTTCCTACATAGAAATACTTGTCTGCTCTTAGAGTCATCGTTGCACTGCTCCAGAACGTTCACTGTTAAATGTAGCATGCAGGATATGGAAGCTTATTACTTTTCTTTCCCATTTTGAGACACTATAAAAATACGCTTATCTTCTATGACATACTCAGTATGTTGAATCAAAGATTTTCTGCTTTGAAAGGTATGTAATAAGACAAGTCAGATCTACCTTTCCCAAGTGCCTCAATTTTTTGCTGAATTTTTTAGTAAAATAGAAGTGGATTCACTTTTAAATGTTACAGTTGTTAGTACTATTTTATTACCATCATAAGATTATGAGAAAATTTAATGCATAGCAATACACTGGGAAAAAAAGAGACAGGTCTGGAAGGGGCTGCTTGTGGGGTTTTTTTTTTCCCCTTTTTTTCTCAAACTGTATATAATGTACAAAAATATCTAGGTAGCTCTCTGCATACCTGTTTTGCATTCTTCAAAGAGGAAAATCAGCAAGCTGGGAAAGCAAATATCACCCAACAAAAATGATTTGCCAACAACAGTGTTAAGCATGTCATCTTTTAGCTACTTAGAGATCAGCTTTAAAAAATATTTTTTTCCAAGGCTGGCAGAGCATGAAACCGTCTTTAGTACTTGGGACTGCTGTTAATATTTCTTAATTTTTCTATTTGATAATCAAGGTATTACAAGCAAAAAGTTTTTTACTACGATTTTTCATGGTATATATCAGAACTGTAGTTAAAGAAAGTGTGATGGGGAAGAGGAACAATGCAGGTGTTTCTGAAATAAGGCCAGAGTAACGTTTAGACTGTCTTTAAAGAAAAAAATCCTATAATATTTTAATGTGTTTGGTAAACTTTGTTGGGACATGGACCTTACGGAAAGGATGTGCATTTTGCCATGCCGTGATCACATGTTTTCAAAAACAGGAACTGCCCATGCTTTCTAGGGATATGTTTGATTTTTAGCAATCCAGAAATTCCAGCACTAAGCAGGATTCAGAACCTAGTAATGACCATGCTGTGCGTACATCGTCATCCCAGTAATTGAGCACGCTCTGTATGGTGACAGCTTACATGGCCAAACTCTACCATCCCGCTATCCATCCTGGGCCAGCATGTGGTCAGGTCCTGGAACAGCAGAGATGGTCCCACTAGCGCTGTCAGCGCTGCTCCTATTTATTGTGTCTTAGATGGTGTGGAAGGGGGAGGAGAGCCAGGTCAAGAAGACTGGAAGTAAGCAGTTGGCAAGGAAATGGATTCATGGCTCTGAGAAGGATTTTTGGATGCCAGTGGAGAACTGACTTGGATGGAATGAAGTGTCTGGGAACAAGAGCTGCTAAGTAGAAATTGGATGAGAAGTCAAAAGCCTGAGTAATGCAAGGGAAGGGAGAGAGTTAAGAGGTGAAGAGTTGCAGACAGTTCTCATTACGTCATGCTGAACTCAATTTTGAGTCTTTAATAATTTTTAGCATAGGCTTTATCAGAGGAAGGGAGTAAATTCACAGTTATACAGATCCACTTGGAGAATTTGAATGTGATTTTTTTTTTTTCTTTTTTTGAAACTGTCAGTTTCATTGCTGTAACTTCAAGCATCCACACCCATCTGATCATGAACGGATTTCCAAGTTCCTTGGTCCTGAACCTGTTTCATCTCCCACCACTGTTTACAGTGTTCTCTTATATATCTTACTGCAAGGAGTGTTTCTTAAAGACTTATCTTCCAACCAAAGAGGACTGAAGGATAATATTGCTCCAAACTTAATTCCGCCAAGTTATGTTCTGTCATCAAAGTGGAGTGATACAGAGCTACCACCTTGGACAGTTTCTTCCCTGCTGTAGGAAATCCTAGAACAGGCAGGTCGTTTGGGTCATGGGATGCTTTAGTCCCCTTGTGGAAGTTGCAGAATGGGAGAACCTGGATCAAAGATCTTATGTTAAATTTTTTGAATGTGTAGGTGGGGAGAGACCTTGCAAGGTCACCTAGTCCTACTCCTTATTCAGAGCAGGACTGACTTCAGCGTTAGGTCAGGTTTCTCAGGATGTTGTCCAGTAAAATGTTGAGTACCTCCAAGGTTGGAGATGCCAAAACTCCTATGGACAAACTGTTCCAGTGCCTCACTGTAAAGCTGTTTTGTTTTGGTTTTTTTTTTCCCCTCTTAATTCCAGTCAGAGCTTCCCTTGCTGCGACTTGTGACTGTTGCTGCTTTTCCTTTTGCTGTGCACTTTCCTTCCCTTTTCCCTTGTATTGGAGGACTGAGCCTGGACACAGTATTCCAGGGAGCAGCCTCGTGAGGGTCAAAGACGGGGGAATAATCAATCACCTCCCTTGAATTGCTGGCTACACTCTTGTTCGTATCGTATAGATGTGCTAATTTCACTTGGTTGTGGGCCTGTTGCTTTTGTTATAGTTTCTGATAGCATTCATGTTTATTTCTCTTACAAGACTTGGATTGGGAATCGAAGACGGAAATATCGTTTAATGGGGATTGAGGTCCCACCCCCTAGAGGAGGTCCTGCTGATTTCTCTGATCAGTCTGAATTTGTTTCTAAATCAGCACTTAATCCAGGAGAGGAAACTGCTACTGAAGTGGGGGATGATAATGATAGGAATGATGAAGTATCAATCTGCTTATCTGAAGGAAGCTCACAAGGTATTTGAAAATGCAGTTACTACTGTGCATATATTTTAATTTTGTGCAGTGTGCATGCTTTGGATTCTCTGTTGTTACACATTAAAAATGTCTGAAAGAGTGTCTAACAGTCACAAGTTATCTACCTTGGCCATACTGAAGGTACTGTCCAGTCTCTTTCTTCTACCTCTCTCTCTATGAATTTTGTTGGGTTTGTTATCACAAAGCTTGCAGAAACCTTTTCTCGTAAGACCTCTGTTTCTGCCAGATTCATCAGAAGTTAAATGACAAGTTCACAATTTGCTGGTGCGACTGAGATAGACAGACAGTACAAATGTCCACGTCTCGCTTCCCTAGGAAGCCAGGTTTTAAAAAATGCTCTCTGACTGTCCAGTTCTACGCAGCCAGCTTGAATATCCATTCCCATTTGCTTGAACTAACAATTCCCACCTAAGCAAGCACTAACGCCTGTGAACCTGCTCCCTTTGAGCTGACCAGAGCTATGTACTTACAGTTTTCCTGATGTTAAACTCATGCTGATGACATACGTGCAGAAGATACATTAGCTCAGACTTGGTCTTAAACTAAAGCACTTCACCGTATGTCAAAGCACAGCAGAACTTCTGCCATTAAGCTGTCTGTGGTGTGTATATGGTCTCTGACAAGCAAATACAAACCAACAGAAAAGATCAAAGTCAGTAGCAGGGAACTACTCGGAGAGCCTTAGAACTGCACGTCCGGGGTGCCTGTGTGCTCTCAGTAAATTGCATGATCTTGAGTGATAAGTGTCTTGAACTTAATTCCCTTTTACTCCACCTCCCCGAACCACATGACCGCATTAAATCGATCTCTCCCTTTCCCTCTTGTACATTGATACTCCGGGCCTAGGGCAGATGAACTGCCACTCAGCGCAGTCACCAGCATCACAGGCTCAACTAATTGCTCCCAGTGCTTCTGATTAGAAGAGATCAATAAAGCCTTTGCTCTCTAAGCTAAAAGAAAGTCGGATCTAGTGCATGCCATTGCAGCTTAGTATGTCAGACCTGATCTTGTCATTTTGTCTGAGCAATTTAGAGGCAAGAACTAGAAAAATGGAGAACTGCTGGGAATGAATTTATAATAGCTTTGTCATATTCACTGCAAAGAGAATAAGATGATAAAGAAATGGGTCAAGTGATTGAAAGCCAAGTGAGATGCAGAATCTTAAGAGTCCTTGATTTGCCTGAGGTGTGGAAGGAACTGATTTAGTCAGATCTGCTTGAAAGAAAACGGTGACAGGGGAAGACTCAATTCTCTCTAGCTTAAAGTGAGGAATAACAGCACATTTATTGAACAAGACTTTCACAAAGCAGGATAAGGCTGTAAGACTGTGAGTAGATTATTAGAGTCAAAGCCTAAGGAAGTACAAGAAAACTATAGATGTCCACAACATCCAAGAATCCCACTTCCACTCCTTTATTCTACCACAAGAATTATTTCTATTCATTTCTCCAGTTCAAAGGAGTAGATTTCACTGCTGCAGCTCAGCATGTTGTGAACTTCCTGGAAAATATTTCCACCGATTATTGTATGTACTATTCACTCACAGATATGTGATTGTTTTGATGTTTGAGAGCTATAACTTTTGGTCCTAGTTTATAAAAAAAAACCCAAACAAACAAAAAAAAACCCAAAAAAACCACTTTCAAAGACAAGAAAAAGATATTTTTAGTCACCTAATTAGAGTGAAAGTGTTAATGCACTTGCTTTTAAAACGTAGTATGTAAATATTTTTAAAAAAAAAAAAAGTGGTACTCGGATGCAAAATTAAGCATTAAAGTTCTCGTAATGCCTTACCCTTTTTAAACATATGTTAATGGGGAAAATCTTTTTAGTAGGGCCAGCAGTGACAAGACAAGGGGTAATGGTTTTAAACTAAACCAGGGTAGGTTTAGACTAGATATAAGGAAGAAATTCTTTACAATGAGGGTGGTGAAACACTGGAACAGGTTGCCCAGAGAGGGGGTGGAGGCCCCATCCCTGGGAACATTCAAGGCCAGGTTGGACGGGGCTGTGAGCAACCTGATGTGGTTCAAGGTGTCCCTGCTCCTGCAGGGGGGTTGGGCTGGGTGATCTCTGGGGGTCCCTTCCAACCCAAAACATTCTATGATTCTATGACTCTATGAATCCATACTTTTTGTAAATGAACACAGCTCTGTGGAGGCCATTACAGCTCTGCCAGTTTATATTCACTGGGGGTGAATATTTAAGCAGCTGAAAGCGCTGTAGGGAGTTGCTTCATTTGGCTATTGAATCCAAGCGGTGACTGCCAGGGTTACCCAGTGACTGGTGCTTTAGGGTGCTTCAGAGTCCCTGAGGTGCATCTTCAATGTCCTTCATCACTCTGAGTCTAGCAATGGGGGTCATACGTTGCTCCCCGCTTTACGGTTCTCCCATTTGGACCCATTTGCTTTTGCTGCTAGCAGAAATTTTCCTCTGAAGTTGCGGCCAGTGGCAGATTAAATTTATTTGAAACAACTTCAGATAAAATTTCCTCAGTTTAGAGATATTTCACTGGTAGAAAAGTTATTTAAAACAATAATTGTCTCAGTATGGTCTGGCCTAAATATTACCCTCTCCTTGCAACTACTGGTAATCTCCAGTTAAATCCTGTTACCCCTGTGTTTGTGTGGAAGTGATGGACCCCTGCAGCATTACCTGCCCTCTCTCTCAGCATCCCACATGAACATCTGCTGCCCATTCCCCCCCCATGGCTCCTTCCCTCCTTAGGTGCGATAGCTGGGCCGTTTGACCCTTCTAACGCAAGCCCTGCCCTCAGCAGATCTGCGGAATTTTACTAGCTCTCGGAAGCAGTGTGTTTCCAGTCAATAGCCTAGCCTCTAATGACATCAAATTTAAGTTTTTTATCATAGCTCTCTTGCCTCTGTGTTTTGGTTTATTTTCTGGTTTGCTGTTTCTATCAACCATTTGCTTCTTGGTAGTGTATTAAATGTGGAGAAGTCAAATAAATCTGAGAAACACACTTAACCATAAGGTTGAATATGCTTTTCTTTCTTGTTTTTCCACGCTGGCCATAGTCAGGGCTGATAGAATCATCTAGTGCTTGTGGTTGAAATTTGAGGATAAGATTTGCTCTGTTTTCAAGCATGTACTTTGCTTACACACAAGAGAGCAGCTTAGATTTGGAGTTGCTATACAAGAATGAAATAATCTGCTTGATCAGTTTTTGGTTCAAAACTAGTCAGTGCCTGCTAGGAGGAGGCAGGATTCTGATATGTACTCTCTAATTTCAGGGCATGCAGGATTTCTCATACATTAATTTATTTTAATAAATAAACAAAGAAGTTCTGGGCACCTCTGATGTGAAACTCTTCATCACCTTTGAATATTCCAACCTGAACCTAAAAATAGGAAGGTTTTGGTACATTGCAGGAAAGTAACTGATAGTTTTCCTGTTGTTTCAAGTAGCGATTGGCATGACTTTGCCCTGCAATGCTTGTGTCATGATGTCTTTTTTAATAAGATATACAGTATTTTTTATGACTAGACATTGATACTATGATACGCGTTTGTATCTAGCAGATGTGATATATTTAGTGGTAAAGACTATAAATGTTCCTTAAGCATAAAATTTGAATGAAATCTGAAAAACTAATTTATTTCTACAGAAGAGACAAATGAAGCTCTTCAAAATGAAGAAATCAGTCACAAAGATGATGACCAGAATCCTGTATCTACTGATAATGTGGTATGTATCTTTTTCCTTTTCCTCTGATGTGACCTCCCTAATTGCTAATGTTGAGGTGGTTGTTGAACACTGGTGTTTTTCACTAGGTGAAAACTTCAGTCGAGTGTGCTAAGAGTGTTTCCTACTTGGTTGAGCACTAAAAGAAACCGTACTAGAAGTACTAAAACACAGAGCTATGCACGTTCACTAGAAATTGAATTACACATCTCTTTCTGTATTATAACAATCCGGTGTTCTTTGTCTGGAGTGCAAAGCACAACGCTTGAGCAGTGCTTTTAAGTACCTAGTATGGTAAAACAGCCAGAATAAAAAGCTCAGAATAATAATTGAAAATGGTTTTTTGTCGCTTTAAGAAAGTCAGATGCCTCTAGTGCTTCCTCTCCGTAGCTAACCTTGAATATGTGAGATCAGGCTGGGGTGGGTATGTACTCATCATTCCTATACCCTTGACAGGGCATTATTTAGATGTTTCTTGTTTTCTCAGTTGCATTCACATCGAGTCAAACACAGTTGTTCTTGCTGTTTTTAATTGACTGCAGTGAGACAAGGAAGGAAAGACAGAGGGAGGAGTCATGGCAAATAATGCAATGTATCCCCTTTGTTTAGCCTGCCTTCTCTCAAATTAGAAGAAAGGAGAGGAGGAAGAGGAGAGAAGACCCCAAGTGGTAGGGTAATTTTTATCTTAAAAGTTATCTGCAGAATGAACAGGTGATGGTTCCCATTCCCAATTGCACTCTTACTGCAGTCAGAGATTAAATGACAGTAGCTCAGAACATGATGAGAACATTTCTGTTCCATTAATCACACAGAACCTGAAGTGGGAAAGCAAACAGGAGATTCCCTTCCCTCTCTCTATATATAGAGGAGAGAACATTTTCTTTCTTTTGTTAAAATATGATCATCTTTTGCGTAAACTGAAATCCCACGGCTGTATTTTCTGTTGTTGCCTGAAGAGAAGCAGCTGCCTTTCTTCCTTCCTGTTTACCTTAATGGCCTGCTGTGACCTTAGATATAATCGCTCTGAGTTTCAGGCTGATGCATTTACCATGGAGATGCAGAATGTAAAATGACAAAGGTAAAAGGTTTGTAAAGATCATGTCCGAGAGACTCAGTTCTCCAGTCCACCTGAACTCCACCGTTACATAATTTGATAGAATAAGAGGGGGGGAAAAGAGGAGTAGTTTTTTCATACTCTGTTCTGAAAACACTGTAACAAAAATTTTAAAATATATGCAGTTAAAATTGGTCTAACATCCATTGGACTTGCATAGGAGATACGGTTTTTCTTATTTGAAATTCTAATCTGTTCTTTCCCCTACTATCTTAAAATGTATAATTATAAGAAAGATAGTGCGAATGTTTGGCATTTATTTAGACTCTTCCCTCAAGCTGAGTCTAAAACCAAAAATATTTGAATCGCAGTGTTACTCAGGGTATGATATAGCAGCAGATCCTTGTGACATGAAGCCTTTGAAATGTTATCACTTCAGCTGGGCTGTCAGACACTGAAGCACAGAAAATGTGGTTTACGCTCCCTACCTTCAACACATACTTGTGAGCTTGGTCTGTACTACGAGCGAGAGACTGAGCCTCTCTTGAAGGATTTCTCCTTGGTGATTAGAAGGAAATTTCTGATGACTGGTCTGCAGGCAGACAGCAGACACACACATACGCTGCAGAGAAGAAACCTCCTCTAAAATAACATCTCAAGAGCTAAACCATTAAAGTGGATTGTGTCAGTGTGGGCCCTTGCCTGCATTGTGTTAAGCAGTATACTGCAAATGATAGTAAAATGGCTTTAACTTATTATTTACAGTCTCGTAAATGTTTACAACTGTCAAAACAATGAAAAATAGTAAAAAACCCCAACCCCCTCCTCTTACAGTACCACTGCTTCCCTCTCAAAAATGTAGTGAAATGTATAGTTTCATCTGGGCGGTCATTCTTCTGAGTTCTTATGGAAAAATGGCATTCTTATCACTATCTAATTCAAACTCATTCTATCTGTTTGAGACCTAGCTTAGATATAAATAAAAACTAAAATCTCGTAAGTGCACTAAAAATGTGTACATTTTGTGTTTTCTCCTATTGAAATAATCTTTTAACATAATTTTCTTACATAAGAAGGTTTTCTGCTGGGAAGAAAAACAATGTGCAAGTGGCAAATAATGTAAAAGTGACTCTTTTAAAACTTGATAGACGATTGGAATGTATTTCTAGGCTCTAAACATCATGAAGCTTGGCCTTTAACATTGTACTTGAGGTATCTTTAGAAACCCAATATATAAAGCTCCCAAGAATTTTTGTGAATTAAGTGAAAATGTCCCTGTGTAGGCATCGGCAACTGTCCTTTGTATCAACATCCTCTACTGTTCAGGGCATTTGACCTGCACTACGGCCAAAGAAGGCCAAAGGAGACCTCTTGGATTTTTTAGGCAAGCAGTAGGTCAGTAAGGACTTGCCTGTCACTTCCCATAATGTCTGTTTTGCTCCGGAGGAACAAACTTTCATGACCTTCTTCACCCTGCAGGAGGTCTTCAACAAAAGGCTTACAGAATAAAACGCAGGCTTTTTCAGGCTGTAATGAGATATAGTACGCAACTTAATGCCAAAATGCATGGTGACATATAGCTCCTCCTCCGTAAACAGCCCGAGTCACCATGGCAGCAGCTCCGAGTACGGGCAGTTGTGATTTGAATTCTTCCTGGATCTTGTGGCTGAGGTGCATGATTGCCATCTAATGGGGGCTCCACAATTCAGAATTTCTCCTGAGCCAGCAAAAGGTCCCGTTACCTTCACCCTTTCGTGGCAATTTGAGATACAGATTGTTGTTCATTTGTCTAATCTATGCATTGGAATATTTGGAATGAACCGTTTACTTCTGTTTCAGAAAATAGAAATTATAGATGATGAAGAAAGCGATATGATAAGTAATTCTGAAGTGGATCAAATGAGTTCCCTTTTGGATTATAAGGTGAGTAATTAGACTGTGAAATATTAAGCAGGATAGTCCTTCACTGAACGTTCGGATTGGTGTATCTGTAAGGAATTGAGCGAAGGCATGTGGGAGCCTGGGACTCCTCTGTTCTTATCGTGGTGCTGCACATCATTCCCTCGGTCACATCTCCTCATCCCGTTTACAGCCAGATTACCCATATTTCAACCCAGAGGGAGGCAGGAAAAATCCCATTTCTGCAGAGCAGTTACATTACTTTAGCTGTAGCCATCTGCAGCTCCCACCACGTGTCCCAAAACAAAGCACTTCATTTAGCCTCTAAACCAAAACTTTCTTTTTGTGTGAGAATTGTTCTTTGGAGTGGTAGAGCACGCTTTTGCATGCAGCGTGATGCTCTGGAAAGGGACATAACAGCTGGAATCCTCTAATAAAACGGGGGGAGCTGAGGAGAAGTCATTCTTGCAATGTAGTGCAGAACATGTCTGGAAGCAGTAGTTGTGGGAGGGAGGAAAAGCAGTGGGATACCCGACAGCCACTGTCTTCTGCCAAATGGTAAAGGTTCTGCGTGTGTTACCGCTCTCGTAAGAGTTGCCACAGTTCTGTGTTGTATACTGAGTGTGTTTTTATGTACGTGGCTGATTTTTTTACTTACAAAACAGGTATGTTCTACTAATGGTAATCAGTTACCAAAGTAATAAATAGATCACCTTTTCAGAACAAAAAGTACGCCTTCAAGCAGTGTTTTCCTGGTAAAGGCAGCGGAGAATGAATATGGAGAGGGAATGACCTTTTCTTAATGTCACCTGTCACCACAGTGAAAGGCTTGTTGTGACAGCATGCCCTACAGAGCCTTGTTTGTTGGCTTGTTGTTTGACATTCGTGATTAGGCTTTATGCCTATGTGTTTTTTGCGTAAATCTGAATTCCTTCTTTCACTGGGCAAAATCCTTTGCTACATAGGCAACTTCTAAGTTCCCATCTGAAATAAATGCATTCAGCTAATTTTCTTACAAAAAGCCTCAAAATCACCGCCCAGATATTCCTCTCTCATTCTCAGAGCTGTTATAACCTGAAGCAGTATGGTAAGGAGTGTTTGGACTGAAGAAATGTGAATTATCTGGGGGGAAAAAAAAAAAAACCAAAACCAACAACCATTTTTAAAGGCTTGTTGCAAACCTTCCCGTTCATCACGTAGTCTCACCCTTTGATATCAACTAAAGTTGAATTACAGCCAGTCTGGCAAACGTAAGCATGACTATCAGAGCACAGATCTATGTTACTTAAAAAAAAAAATAATAAAAAATTCATCATTAAAACAAAATGCCAGTTTATAAGTTCACTATTGAAACCTGCTTATGTAATTATTTGCTGCCACCAAAACCAGCCATCGAGGAACATTTTGTATGCAAAAGTGCCAACCTAATTAATCACATGGTTGCGTAAGCAAGGGTGGGTTTTTTTCTTGCCTCTGACATCCCTTGGTAAGTGCAACACTTACCGTGAATTATCTGTGAACCTAAATGCTTACTTTCTGTGTGTATTGTGCATTGCTCACAATTTCTTTGTGCTCATTTTTTTTCATTATTATTTTATGGAGGACATACGTTTGGTGCCAGTATGCAGGCACCTGTCGCAAAAATGCATAATGACTTTGATCTTGAAAAGTGAACTGTTTATTTAGGTTGCATGATCTTTGCAAAGGTAAATAACCCGAGAAAATTAATTTTAGCTCTACACTGATCAACAGATTTAGCGTTTTGATCAGGCATACCAATCAGTTGGTAAGTTTGAAGGAGAAGAGATATTTGGAATAAACTGAAGTACTTACCCAACCTGAATTTTTAATTAAGAAGTTTGTTATTTTTATATTAAGTGATTTGCAAGCATAGTAGGACGATTTTATGCAAAGGTTGGAAAAATGCCTTTCCAGCCACAGCATGCACATTATTGATATTTCTCCATTTTGTAAACACATTCCTCTCCGTTCTGTAACCCGACAGATCTTGGGGAGGTTGGTGACAAGATACATGTCAAACTCAGCTGCACCAGAGGATGCTATATTTTAATTTGTGGTAGCTTTGAGGAATTTTCAAGTTGTTTCCCTGGTCTTTGTGTCAAGTCTCCTGCTGCATTAATGGAATTTAGTTGCTGTCTCTTCTCACAGTCAGCCTGCCTTTGCAAGCTCAAGATCTCAGAAGAGACCTGGGCTTTGTGTTTCTTTCTTTTACAATGGAATTAGAGGTCTTCCTTATAAAATAAAAAGCAGTGCTTCTTTAAAAGGTTCATGTAAACTTAGGCCCAAGTCATTAAGGCTTTAACAATAGTCAGTAATTCTGAAATGCCTTGTCTGCACCTAACGTGGCTGGCTATCACGTGTCTCTTGTGGAGGGCAATGAGAAATGAAATGGCATAGGCATTTGAAGGTTTAGTGAGACACTACTGGTCATCCATCAGCAACGTCTATTTGTATCCAAAGTCTACGTGTGTTGTTCTATAATCCTATAATTAGAACTTCTGGCTGTACTTAATACTGGTTTTGGCAGGAATCATTATAAACACATTTTCCTTGAAAACATTCAGTTTTAACACAAGTATCTTTAGGTGTCATTAAAAAGATGCAGTACTATTTATTATTTCCAGAACTTTATGTCATTTTCCCCCACAGAATGAAGAAGTCAGATTTATTGAGAATGAGTTGGAGAATCACAAACAGAAGTATTTTGAACTACAGACGTTTACTCGGAGTTTGATACTTGCTATTAAATCAGATGATAAAGAACAGCAGCAGGTAAGTCTTGCAGGCGCTTTTAGGAACGGAAGGTGTTTGCCCTTTTGTGTTCTGTCACTCCCTTGCTTTTATTCTGTAGTGCCCAGAGGCTCAAATTATGATTAGGGCAGTGTTGTGCTGAACATCTTGCAGACAAAGAAAAGCTGAACTTTAAACAAAAGCAAGATCTTGCAGTCTACATAAGCAATGACATAGACAAAGAAGGGTGACTTTTACAAAGGACAACCAGTGCAGGGTACACGGAGGGACTGGGGTTTGTCTGTTGTGAGATCTAAGATGCGAGATCTAGGAAAAAAAGCCAGGCTTCTTCAGTTTTACTGCACTGCATTTAATACATAGCACTTCTTTTAATGCTTGGTTGGATCATGTCTTGTATGAGTAACATTCTGTGCTTTATTTAGGAAGAGATTTTGTTGCCTTTTTTTTTGTCCTTTTGTCTTTACAATCTGCAGTTTTTCAGGTGTAAAAATAGAAACTGTAACTTGCAAGAAAGAAACTTAGAACACTTTTACATCCAAAATAAATTTTGCTTATGGTTGTTTTCTGTCATTTTTTTTTCCTAAAACTACATGAACTGAATATAAAGAGAAGTAAATTCGAAATCTTTGAGATAAATCAATAAATCACTGTAACAGTTACAATCTTGTGTGCAGCATCTAGTTCTATCACCTGCATGATCACAGTATATGTGTATGTTTGAAAGCTTTTGCACGTTAAAAATATATGAATAAAATAAATGAATATCAATCATTTGGGTTTGTCCAGTTTGGGAAAAAAAAAATGGTTTGAGCTGTTTCCACTATAACTTCAGTAACTTCTAGGATTGTTGCGATAAGGTACGGCATCTTACAACGATGTTTTTTCTTTCAATATCTGGCAATGCTGACTTTTTTTTTTTTTTCCATCCAATATCAACACTGACCAAAAAGCTCAACAAAGATTTTTCACTACGTGTTTAACAGACATTTAATGCTGACATAAACCACATATCTAATGTTGTATTGTACCATTTTTTACTCACAGGCACTGCTCTCAGACTTACCTCCTGAACTAGAAGAAATGGATTTCAATCACGCATCCCCAGAGCCTGATGATACCTCATTCAGCTTGTCGTCTTTATCAGAGAAAAATGCCTCAGACAGTTTGTGATTTATTTTTTCTAATTGACAAAAACGAAACCCCGCCTAACGTGTAGGTTTCAAGAGAACGGCGTTTTGCTATCCAGTGTTCTTCGGTCCAAAAAAGAAAGCCCAAGGTGAAGTAGACCTTCCTGAAGGATGACTGTCATGGCTACAGTTTGCAGTGTCAAGACATTTCGGATGTTGTTTTTGGTAAATGAAAAGAGCTGTGTGAGGAAAGGTTTCACTTTTAGCAGTTTGGCCTTGATTAGGGTAACTTCTGACTTCCCAGAATAACTCTTGCTCTGTAGCAAAGTCTTTCTGAGCAGGGATCCAAGAATGGAAAACAAATGTCCTGTTATACAGACAGCTGATTCTCAGAGTTGCTTGCTCACCAGTCCTGTTTGTTATTTTTTTCCCCATTTTTACTCAGGTAGGTGGACTAAAAATTGGGGATCCAAATAGAACAACGGGATTTTTATGAGTTGTGCTTGAACCCTTTTGAAAATCTGAAATTAAACTGAAGTGTTTTTCATTATGTGACTTCAGATTGTTGAATCTTCCATTTTCTGACCAAAATAGCTGACAGAACTTTGAAAGGCTAACTGAAAAATTTGAATTATTGTCAATAAATTATTAACGTAAAGAAGCAGTCATAAGTGTGGTAACAAATTAGATGGATATGGGAAACCTGATAGCTGCAGAACGCGACTTTCTGATATTCTCACAGTAGCAATGGGATTAGATGTTTACACTACTGTTTAGGGTTTTATGAATGTAGTTACAGTTTTGATTTGTTGAAGTCTGAATGCTAAAGTTCTGTTCATTGTTTTAAGTATTGGTTATATATTTTTCCACAAATTTTGCTCCATTTTATTAAGCCACTGTCAGAAATCCACAGCTGTCATTGCGTCCCGAAAGGTATTCGAGTGCTTGGAATTGACTTTTGCAGATCTCCTGTATGTGACCTGTTTTTGAAGTAGCCCCCTCTGATGAATTTTTGGCAACTGCCAGGTACCATTTCTAAACTGTGAGCGTGATTGCAGGCAGTGGCTGAAATGAATTTCTTCTTTCCCAGCTGTTGTTGACATTGAATCCCTTTACTCATCTGATTAAATGGCTGCGCAGACACATTCAGATAAATTTAGTAGGGCGTGTAGGTGCATGCCCATATTATTGATGCTCTATAACTTCTAATCTGAATATTCCTCAGCAAGCATTTTTGAAACAGATACCTTCACAGTCTGGTAAAAAGCCTGATCTTTCAATTTTATGCCAAATAATAATTTACTCTGGTGAATCCTTATTCATGCAGTAAGTAATCTCCTTAATTTCAGTGGGAGGTCCAAGGTGTAGCTCAGAAAATCCAGAGCACTGGGGAAATAACACCTTTTTTTTTTTTTTTTTTTTCCCTTAATACTGGGATTAACTCGTGATTTTAGGGGTTTTTTTTTTCAGTCCGGTCTGTTCCTCCCTAATCACTTCTACAGGGGTTTGTTTTTTTTTTTTATTTCTAGTATTGGTAGTGAGCTCTGTTCTTTCAGGTTTTTTTCTGTCCCTGTGTTGTCCTTGGGCATGGGGAACTTTTAGCAATATTGTTAAATGTCAGCTGCATAAAGGATAGTAGCAGTTTTAAAAGCTGCTTTAAAAAACAAACCAGTTTCACAGTTCTGGCTGCTGTACAATTCAGTTCATTCCCAAAAGACCTCTTACTGTCTATTCTACAGGGTGACCCCTGCCCAAGGAAGCTGTTGGGCTCATATTTGAGTTTAGGCATTAAAAGTCAGAGTCGAATCCCAGGGGAGAGGGAGGGCACTCTGTGTAGCCAGGAGGTAAGTGGTAGGCTACTCATCCCTTCGCTGCCCCAGCTGAAATGTCACGTCCTGGCTGGCGGACGTGTCCCTGTAGCCTTACTCAAAGGAGGAGCAGTATTTCACATGCCTGTTGAAATGAGCACCGATCTAAAATTAATTAAGATTTGTGAGCAAACATCACCATGCTATCCTTCAAATGTAAGATCGAGCTCAACTGTAATTCTGCTCACTTTGGAAAAAATCCTTTATAAAGGGGTTTCTATAGTGGGTTAACAATGCTTTCTATTACTGTTCTCTCTGGATAGGAAATTCACGCCAGTGACAATGAAACCTCTTGTTTTCTGTGAGCTTTGCTGAAATAAAAAAAAAAAAAAAAGTACTGTGATTTGCCACTATTGGGGCCCTGTTTTCCTGCTGTTTCCATTTAAATTCCCATGACAAAAGGCAGGATACTCTTAATGAGAGTTCTTGATTTCATAGTCAATTAAGTCATCTACCTTTATGCAAGAAAAACTTTCATTGTCAATTCATATTTTTCTATGTCTTTGCTTCTATTTCATATGCCAAACAAATCAAAGGAATTAATTTTTAATGAACCACCGCCAGATTCTAGCAATGATGTCAGTCCCTTTTCTCAAGGAAGCTGGAATCCTCTTTGGGATGTGCAGCTGAAACTCCGGGCGCAGTCAAGGCCCACGTCGTCCCTGGGGGCACGTTGTTCTTCGGTCCCTTTCTCCTGCAGGGTGACAAGACAGAACATAGCGAAGCAGTCGTGTTTTCACACCCTGAAACACTTGACGAGATTACAGGATATTCAGGAAGAAAGAGTATAAATGACATTCCTGTATAACAAAAGGCTATATAGGGTAATACTGTACAGCAGTTCTGTGGGTTTTTTAGTATCAGTGGATATTTCCTGCCATATGTAAAACAAAAAAATGAATGATCTATTACCATTTCTGGTATTTTAAATGATTGCAGCAACAATAATTCTGCAGTACAGTGGCTGAAGAGCAGCTCATAAGGTCCTGTAACACAACACTTACCCATCCGTGAGAGTTACGAAAAATACATATATCCAAGTATCGTGCTTCAGACTAGCATCACACACGTGCTTTGTAATTTCGGGGTTTTTTGGTTTGTGTGTGTCCCTAGCAGGCAACGTAACGTGCTAATCGCCTTTGCAGATCACACCCCGATCCGTGTAACTTCTGCAGCTGGGCCTAAGAACAGGAGGAGAGAATTGGGCATGTTCCCTTCCAGCTTCGCCTTAGCAATTGTCTGACGAGCATCTGACTGCCAGGCATCGCGTTCTGGTGCGCAGTCGCCGGGACACTCGTTTCCAGATGAAATTCTGGAAGTTCTTCAGATGATGGAAAAGGAGGGGGGTGGCTCTCTGGGCCCACAGCACGTTAGGGTTTGGTTTATGGTTATTTCCTCTCTTCGTAGGATGATAACGAAAGCCCACGTTGAGTGCTAGTTCATCACTTGCACAGACCTTCCGTAAGGAAGGGATAAAGCTAATATCGTGGAGTGTTACGATGGCAGGAATAAGCGCCCCTTGCCATTCCAGTGGTTTGGCTCTGTGATGGCAATAACCAGCAGAAGTGCCACGTGTCGATGTTTTTCTCGCCTTTTTGCGAAGGCTCTTGTTTGCTTTGTCTGTGAAAGATGACTTCCCTGGCGTTGTTTATTCCTACTGCATCTGTCGGAACAGGAATGATGAAGTGTGTCTTTCTGAAGAAACCAAAGGGGGGAAAGGTAGTTCAGAACAGACGCTTTAAACCAGAGACAGGACGCTCGCTCTCCTTAGGGAGCAATGAAGGGCTTTGATGGTAGCAAGCTCGCTGATAGTTAAGAAGGCTGTTTCCTGAAGCTATGCCTCCTTTCATTTCCCTGCCAGCTGATGTTTCTGTCAAGTCTATAGGTCTAACAGGAGCGAATAACAGTAAATATTCTAATAGGTGAATTTTTGGCAGATTTAAAAGTACACGAACAGATGTACCGTGCAAGTGTCGATTTTCTTGAGTGCTTGATTCTTGAAGCAGCACTGCACTTTAATCTTTCCACGTATTTCTTTTTCGCTAAGGCAATAAAAAGTCTGAAAACGACAAGCAGATCGTGGGCTTTGTGGTCCTCTGAGTGGGAAAAAAAAGGAACGTACCGGTTATATCTTCATCTTCTTAAATTGGGAAGCAGCTTATCAAGTTCCTTCACCAAACAGAGACAGCTGCATCTACTGTTGTGGTCATACGGTTGAAATGGTAGGACAAAGCAACAGTATCACGAACATCCTTGTTGTGGAAATGGGAATCACTGCTTACAGTCGATCAGCTCTCCGGTTTGGGATCCCTGTTGCACTACCTTATCTGTAACATTAAAAAGCAGCTAATGCACAGCACTAACCTTTCCCTAGGTACTCGAGTCGTAGCTGACTGTTGGTCTCAGGATACTGATAGCATAAGGAAAGACAATAATATGCATAAATGGAATAGCACAGGATATCTGAACCATGAAGGATTCATAACTTGTAACCTTCCAACCAAAAGCTTGATTTACTACCTCCAGTCCCGCTGCCCAGATCCTTCAGGTCAGCCAGGGAACGGCGAGGCTGCTCCCCTGTTGGAAGGACTGGCAGCTTCTACCCTTCGGCTTGCATTTCCAGATGCTGCCTTTTCTGCCCCAAATCATAGAATCATAGAGTGGTTTGGGTTGGAAGGGACCTTTAGAGGTCATCTAGCCCAACATCATCGTACGGTTGAGTTAAGTTGCTCAGCTGCGAGAGGCCTGACCAAAGTTAGAGGATGGTTAATGAGAAAACTCCGGCTCCTTATGAGAAAAACAGAAGCTGGTTTATGGTGTTTGATTTCTCTACCCGGCTAATGTTGTAGCACATTGGCCAAATGTGAAATCTTAAAAGTCCTGAGCAAAAAATAGAATAAGCGGTACTACAAAATGGTTTTTTTTCCATGCCAGAATAGGGTTTTATTCTGACTAAAGAGTGTTTGTTTGTCTCTGAAAGGCAGCAGCTGACATGTTGGTCAGAAGACGACAGACACACACGGGGCAGAACCATGGGCTTGTGGTGCTGGTTGTTTTTAAACGAATGAGCAATCCTCTTCCATAAAAGAGACGCTTAAGAATGTTCCTGTAAGGAAAACGGTTTCAGGTCAGTGCTTGGGTTCTGGTGAACATTTTACTGTATTACTGAACTCAGTAAATAATTCTTTTCCGCTTCTGTATTACATTTTACACACGCTACCTCTGAAACGTG